CCTCTTTCTTGTCGCGGTCGAAAAATTTTCGAGACGGGAACGGAGGAGTGGAGAGATTAAATCGAGCAGTTTATGAAACGCGGAGAAATCGTTATTTACTCGCTGCCGGTGATTCGAGGAAGAACTCGGGGCAAGGGTGGCCGACTGTTCCACGCCGGAGGGGCTGCGAGCATCAATCTTTCATTCACGGGACGAATTCGAAGTTATGAATGAAAGTCGACCTTTTAATATAATGTCGCGCCGTCTGTCCTAGCGCCTAACGTGCCTTCGATTTTGATCGAAGACCTGCGAAATTTCACGGCACATCCTGCAGTTTGCGAGCCTGCAAAGTGCCAAGAAAGTGTCATGCAGATTCTGTTAGTAATACTGGATACTTTGGGTACAGTTGCGATTAGGATAATTGGCAGAGTCTTGCTCGATGGTAACTTGCATTACGTTTTCAATTTTTCGCTAATTTATTTTCAATTATTGTGTCTTAATTCCTTAATTAGGACTGACGAGTTAACTCGTCGTATAGACGAATTCGATACTTTAATTGTCCCTTTATCGTTGCCACATTGATAAAATATTATTTGCTAGATGATTCGCATATTTCCCAAATTGTTTGATTCGAAAAAACGAAAAATTGAAATTTATTTTAATCGTGGAAGGTTAAGGATCAATCGAATGCCTTGGCGCGAATTTTAAAACGGTAGATAAGTGTTGGACGATGTAAATATCGGTTTAATTCGTTTGCTCGTTTATAGAAAAGTACGCGGCGAGAGGCTTCTGCTGGTACTTTCGTCTTCAAAATTCTGATTGCCCGTGGAATGAATTTCCCAGAAGGACATCTCGATGGGATTTGATTTTCTGGAACCGAGGCTGGAAGCTCGTCGATCATCCGATTTCACGGAGCAGTATGAGTTTCCTGCAAGCGTCCCGCCCAATTCTGTTTTTTCTCTTTTCGCCGATTTTTACCCCGTGTGTTTCTCTTTTTTTTTCCTCCCCTTTCCTGCCGCTGTCCTTACTATTAAGCCGATCTCCCTCGTTTCTGTGTCACGGCAGCTCTTCCTGCGGGACGTCCGACACGGCTGTCCGTGTGTTCTTTTGATTTATCGACCTTAATTAGTCGAGGATTCTATGAAAATTGCTAATGCGCCGCCCCGTCGCGTTTCTTTGCTTCTGCCTGCGTGCGTCGCCTCGAATTTGCCACGACCAGTTAGGACTGTTTGTCAAAAGCCTCGTGAAATTTCGGGGATCCGTTCTTTTTCGAGATGCCCGCACGAAGGCTGCCGTGGAAGATGGAACGGCGGATTTTATTCTCCTTATTCCCTCGAATTAGAAATCAAATCTTGAAACAGTCGTCCAACAAATGGCTAATCTCTTCTTAGCTTAGGATATTTCATTTTATTCGTGTAACATATCGAAAAGCGAGATATTTCGTCGAATTTTCACCGTAATATTTATTCGAGGTCTCTGAAGATGCTGTTTCTGAAAATTATTACTCGTTGAAAATCATCCCGATTCACGGAATTAGGATCTCGAAGGAACATTCTGTCAACGAAATTTTACCTTTCTCGCCTAAAGATTCCCTTAGATGACGCATCTATTAACTAGCTTAGTACCCTGGACCCAGGTGCATGGTTCCCTAACTGATCACGATTCCGTCAGTTTTCCATCCCCATAGAATTTCTCGATTAATTTCGCCTGCACTAGTCCCGTCGCGTAATCGATCCGATCAACGGAACGATCGTCTAATCGTCAGTAGGATCTTTCTCAACGTTTCCCTGAAATTGGGATCATCCCCAATGATCGATCACTCGCTACTTAGGTAGTCTCTCTACCCTGTAATTAGCCAGTGAAACGATCGCATCTCAACACGGATCTGAAATGCGACAAAAGCGACGAGGGATATTTCTTTAACCTCTTCGCGAAACTCATGTATCCTCGAAATTGCACGGCGAATCGCGCGAAGTCGGGAGAAAAGTTGGATTCGTCGGGCCACGAGGGATTTCGGCCCGGGCCGTTTCCATGCACGCGATAAAATCCGAAGGAATCGGAGCTCGGCTAGCAAACTTCTCCGGAGTTGATCCCGTCCAAGTTTTTGCCCCCTCTCGACGCCCGTTTATGGTTTGACTGCCCTCGGATGGCACTTTAGGGAAATACGAGAGGAGAGCCACGCATTCGGCTCTATTGGCAACCAGTAGAGCCTATTGTGTATTATTAGCCAATAAAACCCACTTTGCTCGAGACACGCGCGAGTACCCCTTCGGATTCCTTCGTCCATTTTCCTCACAGTTCCCGTCCTCTTCGTTGCACTTGCTTCGTCTTCTTGCACACTCTTCCCCTCCGCGGTTTTATTCGCGTTTCACCTGGGTTCTATTCCCTGTCAAACTGGGAAGATATGACCGATCGATCTTCTAGAGGGGTGATTTAGGACGGATCGACGAGAGAGGGTTAAAAGACTCGGAAAAGGGGTCGGGTCGCTGATTCTCAGTCAGCCCTACGCATCCCTGATTAGCTTAGGTTCGCCGTATTTCCGATTAAACTCGATAGCAAACGATCCTATCGTGCACCCTCATGCACCGCTCCGTAATTGGAGGTCCAAGGGTGGACATTTGAATTCATTCGGAGTAGCTACGCCGACCCTTGCTTCCCGGAAACCGCTGCGCCTTGCTATAAATTGAAATCCGATGATCGTGTTCCTCCGTACGACGTGATCGAGATCTCGTGTTCCTCCTGTCGGAACAATCTCCGCGAGGCTCCTGCGACACTCGACATTTTTAATCACAGGAATATTTGGGACGAGGAATTTGCTTCTTAATGACAGCGCTGTGGAATTCGGAAATCTTTGCGGTACGCGCTGTCAATCCTGAATTTTTCTATCACTAAGCGACTATGGTACTCAAATATATCGCGTTTGGTCTTTCACAATATTCGAACCTATGCTGTTTTGCATAAATTCGGAAAATAAAGTAGTTCCGGGACTAGTTTTTTACAGTTTTGCGCTATACGCTGTCAACTCTAGAAGATTCGAATTTTTCTATTACCAAGCAATTATGGTACCCAAATATATCGCGTTTGGACTTTCACAATATTCGAACCTCTGCTATTTTGCATAAATTCGGAAAATAAAATAGTATGGTGACTACTTTTTTACAGTTTTTCGCTATACGCTGTCAACTCTAGAAGATTCGAATTTTTCTATTACCAAGCAATTATGGTACCCAAATATATCGCGTTTGGACTTTCACAATATTCAAATCTCTTCTCTTTTGCATAAATTCGGAAAATAAAATAGTATGGTGACTACTTTTTTACAGTTTTTCGCTATACGCTGTCAACTCTAGAAGATTCGAATTTTTCTATTACCAAGCAATTATGGTACCCAAATATATCGCGTTTGGACTTTCACAATATTCAAATCTCTTCTCTTTTGCATAAATTCGGAAAATAAAATAGTATGGTGACTACTTTTTTACAGTTTTGCGCTATACGCTGTCAACCCTCGAAGATCCGAATTTTTCTACCACCAAACAATTATGGTACCCAAATATATCGCGTTTGGACTTTCACAATATTCGAACCTCTGCTATTTTGCATAAATTCGGAAAATAAAATAGTATGGTGACTACTTTTTTACAGTTTTGCGCTATACGCTGTCAACCCTCGAAGATCCGAATTTTTCTACCACCAAACAATTATGGTATCCAAATATATCGCGTTTGGACTTTCACAAAATTCGAACCTCTGCTATTTTGCATAAATTCGGGAAATAAAGTAGTACCGTGAGACGAAGGAAGATCGTATTAAGAGGAATACAATAGTTAAGAGAATTCTCGCAGTAGCGTCTATTAGCGCGTTCCTCGAGGCAGCTGTTCCCCTGAAAAGAGTCGTGCTGGATTCTCCAAGAATCGGAAACGACTCGATTCACTTAGAATGGGTCGTCGACCGTCGGGTCATCGTTCGAGGGGTGTGTTCTTGCAGAATGTTCGCGCGAAAGCAGCGCGATACCGCGGCGGTACTCGGGTAATTAGGGCCGCGGCGGTGGAGGGTGGTGGACATTCGAATTCATTCGAGGTCAGAGCGTTCCTCGGGGGTTTACCCTGCAGCCCCTTTAGCGGAAAACTGTCTGAACATGACGTAACGCTCCTGAAAGCCGCTCGGATAGGAGCTGTTCGGCCTGGTTTTTGCGCTGTCCGGCCAGCAACAATGGCCGCTTCTTACGCGGCTCTGGTCACCGTATATTATTAATTACTGTATTAATCTCGCCGACCGTAAGCAATCTATTATACACGGGATAAGAGCCACCGAGAGCCGCCGGCGTCGTCAAAACGTCCGTCCCTCTCCAACCCCTTCCCGCCCCTCTGATCCGACTCCTCTGTGACTTTGTAACTTCGACGCTCGAGGGGGTGTCGATGTAATCTGACCCACGCTGGTGTTAACGAAGGGTGGCCACGGAAAGGGTGTTAAAGGAATCTTGAAATTGGCCGCGGTGTGACCGCCTCGCCGGCGCTTCGCGCTCTCAAAGGGGTGGCTTCGGGGATCGATTCCGCGAAGGTGTCGCACGCGTATCGGGGTAGTTTCCACGTCGTTTCGTTTCTTTAATCCATTCTCCTTTATTTTTACTACTCCACACCGGTGTTTCTCAGCATCTTTCCGACCTCCTCCCCTATCTTTTAGGAAAGCAGACGTACGTAAATATTCGCATCGCACCCCTGGATTCTTCCAGTCTTTTACGTGGCCTCCGTTGAAACTGGAACCCCCAGGTTCTAGAATCCCTTCGTTCCTCGCGAATCGTGGATCGCGATCGACACCTGCGAAGTTCGCCTAAACGAATAGTCGGTTCGAGGAATTTCCTGTGCGACCCCGTTTCCGTTTATCCCCCCGTTGAACGCGAACCGCAGGGGTTAGCGTAAGCTGAGCCGGAAGATAAATCTCAGGAGCGTAAGAATGTTGCAGGCCCGCGTGGCGAAATCGATCACGACAATTATATTCTCGCGTTTGCCTCTGCGTTTCAGGCCTGTGCGCGGCGTGCATGTTGGTGAGAGTGGAGCAAGAACGTCTGGAGAGCCTGAAGTACGACAGGGCGACGATTTATATAAAGTGCGTGGAGGATAACGAGGATACGAAGGCGGAGAACGACACCGAGGTGAGGGATGGAGTAAGAATGCATAGATTCGAGGATCGAATTGGACGAAGATGACGGGAGAGAGTGGCGGTGAATTATTCGGCTGGCCGGGGCCGAGCGACAACGGATTTTTGTTAATGGGCCGACGTGCCGAGTCACCGGAGTGTCTTGGAACCGGTCCACCGGTTCAGATTGATGTCGGTCGATAAGGAGATTGGCCCCATCTCATTCGTTTCACGATAATAATCGTCATTACGTTTCCACGGGGCGACCTTATGGCCAGCTGCTTCCTCTCTCGTCCCCTAGTAGCTCCTTTTTGCCTCTCGTTGCTCGTCTCGGGCTCCTGACGATATCGAGGCGTTAGGAGACCGAGGCGAACCTCGAGCAAGCTTGCACTCCTGTCTAACTAGACTTTTCTGTTCCGTTGCAGGTGGCTGCCAAGAGACCCAAGATGGAGAACACGAGGCCGTCGAGGACCAGGCGGAACTTGAAAGGCTCCCACGAGCTGAAGGTTTCGTCGGAGATCACGCTGAAGGAGCTGAAACTCATGGTACGCTGGCTACTCCTCGATTCCGCGATCGCAGCGTTGCTCGGTGACCAGGAATTATGTTTCAACGTGCCACGAGCGCAGAGATACGAACCTTCCTAGGGAGTAGCTAATGGATTAGCCGCAAGAACACGTATTTAATCTGCGGAAGGAAATAAAAAGAGCGGGAAGGTCTCCGGTCTTTGGTATCGAGTCTCAAAATTGCTGCCTTATAGAGCACGAAAAATCTGACGTATCATGCTTTTCCCCTGTGATCTTCGTTCCCGAGATGCTTTATCCGTTTGATCGGACAAAGAAGAAGACGAATTCCACGATAATAGATCGTGCGTCCGACGTCTGGGCAACTAAACAAACATAATCTGCGCGGTTTTAACGCGTTCCCCAATCGATCGTAGTTGCTGAGAATGACAGTGATCGCGGGATAATTGAATGAAATTACTCCCGGCCGTTTTACGAGGGCTGGCCGTTTCCGAGGCACGGAGGAAAGAGTCCCTCCTAAAATCGGACACCCTGTAAGCAGGTTCTTCGTTGGTTCGTTCAGTGGACGAAAGTAGTAAAGCCGTAGTTATGGCTGGTTAGCATATGCCCGAGCCCCGGCAGTGTGCTTAAACTATTAAGCGTATTTATATTGCGAGGCTGTGGCCATCTCCTTCTCCTTCTCCGAGGCCACCGGCAAAAAGCCGAAAGAGCATAAACCTCGCGCTAATAACAGGCCTCCGACTTCTCCACTCCACTTCACTCCACTTCGCTCCACTCTGGCCCTTCCATACCGGTGGCTGTTCAATTCCCTCCTCTTCTCTCTCTCTCTTTCTCTCTCACCGTGTCTCTCGCTTTCTCCTCCACGAGTTTTCGTGTAATTTAACCGCGCGAAAGCTCGAATCCCGAGATACCTATCGAATCAACGGTTAGGGTTCTTTGCGCCTCTTTGGGGGATGAATTTTCCAATTTTCCAATTTTCCAATGCGCGAGAATTCGCAGATTTTGACCACGTCTGACGAGGACACTCGGGTATCCTCTTAGGTTCGATTTTCAAGTTTGTTTCTATGGGTTTCCTGGGTATTTCGGTTCTTCGTCTTCCGTGTTCCTGCTTCTCACCGATTTCTTTTCTCTCTGTCCACCTACACAGGCCCGGACCTGGTTCCTTTTTGGCCCTTTTAATATCCGACCCCGAGAAAGGCAGCCGGCGTCAATGGGACGACGAGTTCTCTCTTCTCATTCATTGGCCTCTCTTTTACGGTCCCAGTGCTTTATTTTCTCCTCGAGTTCGATTCCCAGTCTCGAGGGTTACCTTCCCTCCAGAACGCAGGGGCCTTCGGTGGTCCAGGCATCTGCGCGGAAAGTGTCTCAATCCTGGGGAACACGGGAGAGATATAGGGGAAAATTCGTGGTCGGGAGAAAGAAGAAAAGTGTCATCGGATAAGCGAATATACAAGCGAATAAAAGCGACACGTATCTGGATGCGCAACGTCTCGTTAAACCGGCGAGAGGAATTTCGAAGGAAGACACATTAAAATTACAGTTTGCCCGGGAAGTTCCTCGGCCACTTATGTTTTATTGCGAGCACAAGGATGAACAAGAGGAGCAATCTACCCCGAGTATCTCTCCACTCTTCGGCAACGGGTTAACGAATTTTTCTCCCCGGTTTCCCGCAAAAACGGCGCGGCAAAAAGGACAAAACGCGGCTCGTCTCAGTTTTACCGCAATAATTGCCAGCCGGCAGTAGTAAAACTCTTAAATTTAAGCCGACGGATCCCGTGCCGGTGCGTCGAGGGAAGAACCGTCCAGCCTGTTTTCCAGGCTACGGGAGGATCCACGGCCGGATCGATAGATCGCTGGACGGCAGCGAGCGCGAACGGTCGGCGATTAGACGGCGATACCGGTTCGAAAGTATCACTCGCCGACCGATGGGTGCCGGTGTTCACGGATCGATTCGCGTTTGACAGAAACGATAGTTGGCTTTTTATCGGCCGGCAAAAATCCACGAATTTCATGGTCGGCTGCGGACAAGTCGCGAGCAAGCAAGCAAATCGGGACAATAGTCGCTTCGCTCGCGGATCCATTTACGTAATCGTCGTAACGCCGATTGCCACCTGTAAATATTACTTTCTACCACATTCCGTGTCACCGATCTCCGTTCCTTCGTTTCCCCAGCTTCCTCGAGAGCTTGGTCCTTGGTCTTTTCCAGTGACCAAGGTAGATCCGCGTGGTTCGGCCTACGTAGCATAGGATTCATCGAGTGTCGAGAGTCGACGTTTTATTCCGCTCTGCATTCGAAATGATTATGAGACAATTTTTCAGTTTCTTCCCTTTCTGCTCGGCAGGCTTGTTAAACGCGCCTCTGTTTATCGGCCTGGTCGAGCACCTTTCGTGCCCGAGCAGAGGAGCTTAACGAGGAAGCATCGGTTTCCTGACCCAACCAATCATTTCTCTTCCCTCTGCTTATTTTTTATTCCCCGTTTTTTCTTCCTGTAAACGCTGGTATTATCCCGTAACTTTCGTCACTTCGGAGATGCTCGATGGAGATCTTCGTCAAGGTTTTCAGGCTTCAAATTAGGGACTAGGAGAGCCTTCGCGGGGCCCAGAAGAGGTTCGGAGTAGTGGCTTTTCGACGAAGGTACCCACCGAGGTATCCGGCTTCGCGGCGTCTAGTTAAACACGCGGGATACACGCTTTTCTAGAATAAACTCTGCGAATCGATGATTCATCGGCATGGGTGTAACGGAACTAATTTTTGGAATTTAAAATCAATTTCACGCCAGACGTTCCTGCCACGTCACCCTCCGCTCAATCAGCCCGCGGGGACTCGTGCACTCCTGCAAGAAACCGTCCTCCTGAAACTCGATCTAAGATCGTCAATGGAAGAATCCTATTTATCCCCGAGAGTTAATTCGTTTTGCTATTCGCACGAACCATGAATTTCTAATATCGGGGCCCGACACTGCACCTTACCGCTCTACCAAACAATCCCCCCACCGTCCACGGTTCGTCCTATTCATCCTGCGCCACTCGAGCCACCGCGCCATCTGCAATTTTTCTCCGATAATCGATCGATCGCCGAGGGGAACGGAAGAAAATCGCGAAATTACCTCGAGAGATTAGCCTCTCGATGCTTCCGCGGATGGTTCACGTCGGTTTACTCACGGTCTAACCAGGGTGTTCCGTGTGTGCACGTCTTCCCTCTCTACTCCTCCGTGGCTCTTCCTCCCGCCGGTTACTCGCTCGTAAAACAGAAACCTGCACGTTTACCCCGGGAAGCTGGTTCCTACGGGCCGAGGGTAAACGCGAAACCGTTTCTCGAACGTGGCTTCCACAAATTAAGCAATTACCCGGACGCATGCTCCGCGATTCCGACTCCGAGACCGCGGTCCTTTCCTTCGCTTTCTTTACCCTGCTCGCGGTCCGCTTTGGAGTTCGATGCCTGCGGAAGCCGATCCACGGATGCCGGAATTTTCTGCGTTCCTGGAACTTGTTCAACCCGCGACTCATTTTTCGCGGTTCATTTTCGGCTGCGTGAATTCCGTCCGTGGTGATAAAAAAACGTGGTGAAAAATGAATAAAAGAATTTTTTTAAATTAGCCGATATGCCGTGGCATACCAGCGTCTTTTATTTTATCTTTTGTAGGTTTTACAATGGTTGCCTTAGGAAGAGCCTTTGGCGTACGTGTTAATTGAATTACACAATAGAACTTCTTGATCGAGATGGCGCCTATCTTATATAGGAATAATAATCCGTTGTTATCGGTTGGCGTTGAAGGGTAGGATGGAAGCATCCCTTATCTACTAGTTACATGTGGGACAAGTCCGTGATCCAGAGAAATTCTGCGAATATCTCTTACCAAATTTTGCACGAAGTTTCCAATTTTATTTATCTTCGCGGAGATCTTGTAGCAGAAACGTGGCTTGTGAAACGTAAATCGAATCTTGGAGGGCGTTCAGAGATTGAGTGTTCGGAACTTCTAGGTTCCAAGATCTGTCATCTATTTTTATTTTATTTATGAACCGTTCTCTGCACGTTTCGAAAATTGTTCGGTGAAATTAATATTCGTCGTTTGCTGTTTCAGACAATGCAGATTTGCGGCGCCGGCCCGTACGACCAGCATCTGATGCTGGGCGAGCACGAGCTGACGGATCACAGCCAGAGTCTGGCAGCGCTGGGGATATTTCCTGGAGCTCTTCTCACACTGAAGGTAGGCTGATCGCATTGGCTAATCGAACGTTCCGCGGAATTCCCGTGGAATCTGCATGCGTGGCGAATTTCCCACGTTGCTCGAGCACGTCGTGCGGGGAAAAAATGGGGGAATAATCGAGGGAAAAGAGCCTTGAGAGCCGCGATCGGCCGCGGAGCTGGCTGCCCTTGTCGCTTTTTGGTACCGGTTTCCTTTATCCGTGAAATTTTCGCGCAATTAACGGCAATTGCCTCGGTAACGGTCGGAGTACTTTCGCTAATAAGACAGACCGTAGCCCGTCTCTGTCTGTTATTCCTGGCATCGCATTCCGCGCGTGGAAGCATCCGAACAAGACCCCTCAGGATCGTTCGAAAGGTTCGAGCAGGGCTGCTCGATCGGCGGGCCCTGGTTGGCAAGAAGGAAGACGAAACGCTGTCGGCAGCTTCCTGTTTTCGATTTACACCGATTATTTGTCCAGCTCGCTGTCTCCAGCCTTCCTTATTGCGACGGCTCTTCTTAATTCAGTTGTAACGTCCTGCGGACAACTTTTCGGTAATTGGGTAATCCCTCTTCACTCTTCTGCGGGCTAATTGTCTCGAGATCGGTAGGGTTTGACACTATGTGGCAAGCGGAATTATGCCACGTGTTCGCTCAGCATTGCGATTAGATTCGCTGCCATTTGTGGACTTTTTCTGCACTTGCGAGTCTCTAGATCCAGGGTCCTTTCTTAAGAGAGGCTATTTGATAGCAGGGATTCAATTCTTAGAGTCACCGAAAAGCGTGTGCATTGGTTATTAATTTTCAAACTCCCTCATTCCTTCACTCGCTCTGGTTAAATTTTGATACCTAGTACACCGGTTCTTCGTTATCTTGCCATTGTCAGTTTATTGTCATCGCTTCCTTCTCGTTTCACGTTAATCTCGGTACTCTTCGAGAGTTTCCAACAGACTATATGACAGCAAGGATTCAAATCTTAGAGCCACTAAGAAGCGCGTGTATTAATTATTAATTTTCAAACTCCCTCATTCGTTCACTCGCTCTGTCTAAATTGTGACACCTGGTACACCGGTTCTTCGTTATCTTGGGACTATTAGTTTATTGTCATCGCTTCCTTTTCGTTTCGCCTTAATCTCCGTACTCTCCGAGAGTTTCCAACATCTTTTCCCATTCCACTGACAGAGGCTCCTGTATTCTATTCTCTTGACAGAGCAAGCGACGCAACGCAGCGAATGACAGAGACATAGACAAAGGAATCAAAGAAATTGACGAATTTCCAAATCTGTTTTAATATAGTAACATCCATCCCCGTTGACACTTTGGATCTCAACGTCTCGCGTATCTATGACGTGTGAACACGTCTCGCGTAAATCATGTCATTCCTAGAAAACTTAACGATCCGAACAGTTTCGATCGCGATCGTTTAAACAAGCGCGAGACGTGTCCTTGTAATTGGTAAGCAACGAAATCGTAGGTTTTTGCGATTCGTCAGCTACTAGGCGGCTATCTGAGCAGCTATCTGAGCAGCTATCTCGGCGGCTACGTCGAGCTTGCCGTCGATCTCCGGCGATCGTTTGGCCGGTAGTTGGAAATCAATTATCGCTGTCGAAACTGATCGGCAGACTACGGCGATTACCTGAAAAATCCGGCAAAGATACGATCGAGGCGAGTCTCAGCTGGATGGAAAAGAGAGAGAGAGAGAGGAAACGGGGCGTGCTGGACAAGTTCGATAAATAGGTAGCGGTACGTAAATGTGTAGAACCGAGCATAACTCGCGGCTTAGTCAGCCGCATTCGCCACGGCAGACCGTGATCAATTTCAACTTTTTCATCGCGCGTTGACTTTTTCCCGGCGAAACGGCGGATTAACGCATTAGCGATCCGATTTCAAACATCCTAATTCCTATATATCGAATTTTTCTTCCGCCGAGCCGATCACCCATGACAGACCAGTTTGTCAATCCATTCGATCGTCGTGTTATCGCTAACGTAATTGCAATTACGCTAACTCTCCGTCACGATCTACGGATCTGTGTCTCCATCTTGAGAGTAACATCCATGATCGATACTTGGGCTTTCGAGACGATTTCGCTGAGGTTTGACAGCGTTTAGGATCGCATTGTTGTCTCTGGATTTCCTTTCACACGATCGGCGCGATTATCGCCCCGAGGAGCGTTAATCGTAGTCAGAACGATACGTTTCTCGCGGGGGCAGCGGACAGTGACAAACAGATGCAATTTAGATTTAAGATCTAGCTTCCCGTTTCCCTTAAGCCGGAGACAATGGATAAGTAACGCCGGCAATGGTCCAAGATAACGCGAAGACCGCCGATTTTGTCGCGGGATTAGCCGAGAACGTCGCCTCCCGAGATTAGAAGCGTTAATTGGCCTCTTACCGTGGTGAGATTACCCGCGAGATTCGCGAAAAATCCTCCGAGCCCGCTGAAACTCACCCGGCAACCCTCCCGGCCCTTCGTCGCCGACTTCTCTTGCAGTAAAGATCGGGATCACAGACCGATTGCGAGCACAGCGCGTTTGTTCCAATTCTTTTGACAGAAAATAGAGTATTTCGTGTGCTAGAAGTGAAGGGAATGGAACAAAATGTAACACCTTATGAAGACCTAGATGTACAATAGGATCAGAGGGGGTTGAAAAGTCCTCGACTCGCTAGGTTGCAGAATTCCAGATAAAATTTGGAAATTTATTAATTCTGAAAATTCTGAATATTCTTCGTACTTACGGAGATTTAAGGGTTCATGCATTTTTCCAATTTTCCATTAAAATTTGGAAATTTATTAATTCTGAAAATTCTGAATATTCTTCGTACTTACGGAGATTTAAGGATTCATGCATTCTGTATTAACGAAGTAAAGTGCTAACCTAGGAATTCTATCAGACAGGGTTGTGTTTCTAGATAATTGAGCTAACTATATTTGAAAAGGTGTTACCTGTCATCTCGGAGAAGCGAATCATCGACGAGTCCAGGTAGATGCTCGTACTGCGAGAAAATCGGTGGATCTGGATGGCGTCGCGACTCGCGATGGATGGCGTTGGGACTCGCGATGGATGGACGAGAGGAGATGGATCGGCGTGTAGGATGTGGACATTGGCGATCCCGTGAGCCGCATATCTGGCGGTTGGCGCGGGCCACGAGGATCGAAGATTCGGCCAAAAATTCGGTGGACGTGGCCGGCGTTTTTGCCGGGTCAAAAGCTGTCGCCGCCGCCATCGCCGCCGCCGCCGTGGTCGCTGGTCGACGAAAGAAAAATTCCGCCCGTCCGCTTGGGACGCGGCACCGCCGGAATAATTCCGGCGTTCCACGGCATTCCCTCGGCCACGGTTCACTGATTTTATGAAAGCAACGCCAACGTTCTGCGGAGTTAACACCGTTAACTCTCGACTCGCTGTCAAACGGGAGCGACACGCCGGAATCCGTCCTTCCTTGGACTCGTTTCCTCGATCGCGCTTGCATCGGCTGCGAATTCTAATCGTCGGGCTGGCCGGGATCCAGTTTCCACGACGAACTAGCATGTGACACGTGGAACCGCGCGTTCCTTGCTCTTGGATAGCTAATCGGTTAGATGGCTGCTGGACGAAGGTTCCTTGCAGGCTTGTCAAAGATCTCGCGCGTGGGACGAGCAGAGACGCAGAGGTAATCTCTGGAAGTAGAAGCACGAAGATATCTAGGCAGGAATCAGATTAAGTCAGCTTTTAATGCCCTAGAATTCATCAGCGGAGTCTGATGTATCATTCGTTGCCTGGAATTTTTATCCGTGAATACTGAATTCTGAGTTCTGATTTGTTTATAATAGGACATTCGATTTCAGATGCTGGTGGACTGTTTGTTTAGTAGATTAAGGAGCTAGTAAAGCGAAGAATGAAACGAAGATACCTGATCAGAGATCTGATAAAGTCAGCTTTCAATATTCTAAAGTCCATCAGTGGAGCCTGAAGTTATCATTCGTGGCCTGGACTTTCTGTCTTCGAATACTGACTTCTGAGTTCTGAATTCTGAGTCCTGAGTCCTGAGTACTGAGTCCTGAATTCTGAGTCCTGAGTTCTAAGTCCTAAGTTATGAGTTATGAATTCTGAATTCTAAATTCTGAGTCCTGTGTTCGGAATTCTGAGTCCTGTGTTCGGAATTCTGAGTCCTGAGTTCTAAGTCCTAAGTTATGAGTTCTGAGTTCTAAATTCTGAGTCCTGAGTCCTGAGTTCTAAGTCCTAAGTTATGAGTTATGAATTCTGAGTTCTAAATTCTGAGTCTTGTGTCCGGAATTCTGAGTCCTGAGTTCTAAGTCCTAAGTTATGAGTTCTGAGTTCTAAATTCTGAGTCCTGAGTCCTGAGTTCTAAGTCCTAAGTTATGAGTTCTGAGTTCTAAATTCTGAGTCCTGAATCCCGAGTTCTAAGTCCTAAGTTATGAGTTATGAATTCTGAGTTCTAAATTCTGAGTCCTGTGTCCGGAATTCTGAGTTCTAAATTCTGAGTCCTGAGTCCTGAGTCCTGAGTCCTGAGTTCTAAGTCCTAAGTTATGAGTTCTGAGTTCTAAATTCTGAGTCCTGAGTCCTGAGTCCTGAGTCCTGAGTTCTAAGTCCTAAGTTATGAGTTTTGAGTTCTAAATTCAGAGTTCTGTGTCCTGAGTTCTAAGTCCTAAGTTATGAGTTCTCAGTTCTAAATTCTGAGTTCTGAATTCTGAGTCCTGAGTCCTGAGTTCTGAATTCCGAAACACAAGATATAGAGTCGAATTTTGAAACCATTCTGAATACCATTTAGATCACAGAGGAGTAAGCTACATGTACTTCCTATAAACTATTCTCTAGAAAATCTCTATATCCTTCTCAGAGATTATGCAGTGTAGCTAGAAGAGTTTACCATTTAGATCACAGAGGAGTAAGCTACATGTACTTCCTATAAACTATTCTCTAGAAAATCTGTATATCCTTCTCAGAGATCATGCAGTGACGAACTGCTAGAAGAGAAATATACTTAGAAACGAAGATATTTCGTTTATCCAAAGAATCCTCGATC